TATGCTGATGTGTCAGCTTTCTGGTGGTGTCAAAGTTCGCTTCTGACATAGGCGACCTCTACTGCATGCAAGCCACGTGGCCTGTGGCAGGTGAGACATTAATTTCAACCGAGGCCGCCTGTGTCAGAAGCGAACTCTGAGACCACCAGGAAGCTGACACATCAGCATACCAAGTTCGCTACTGCTCTGGGCAAACTTGCCCTCGTGACAATTTGGTAAAATTATTTTTTGACGTGACATTTAGATAAATTTATTTTCTAATAGTGGCACAAAGTTCACTCTTCCCTTATCAAATCAATAATCTAACGAGTGCAGTTAACAAGATATGGGATACAATCCAAAAATAGGGTGTGTATTAAAAAGAAAATTCCTTGAATTGAAAAGGTTCTTAGAATGCCTTTGATATATGCAAAAGGAAAAAATGTCTATCATTTAAAAGGATGATCTTTTTAAATGAATGTAGTGCATTTTTTTAAATTTAAAATTATAAATTTTTTCTTCTACTCTCTTTTTCCTATAGTTTATTCTTTTATCTCTCTTAAAATGATATAAATATATGTCCTTTAAAAGGACACACACTTTTTTCCCGTGCAAAATTATGGCATGACAATTAAGCCAATATCTACAGTCTAGGAATTAAAAAAGAAGCAATTTTTTTATTTTATTTTATAAAAATGGCAATTCTTTGAAGTTTGAAAAGTTATCATGAACACCCGATTTTGCCTTCAGTATGGGCAGTGAAAAAATGACAGAATGAAACACCCGTCAAAGCATTCAGCACGAGCATGGATTTTCACGAAAAAAAAGGTTAAAGAAATGACAGTTAAGCTAATATTACTGGGACTATTTATTATGTCATTTAATAAACTTTGAAAATAAGTAACGTCGCTCGTCATTTATTTAATTTTTTAAACATGAAGCATCGCTCATAGTCATGTTCATGTATACCTCATAAGAATTGTTTGTGCTAAAATCCCCACATTCAATAGCGTGTCTGCGTGTGAACATGTGCAGGCCACCAGCTAAGGAATTAGTACGAATTTTCTTTTTTGTTATCTCTCTCCTTTTGTCAAACACGTGACGCACTTACTTCCTCCAACATCACATATTTTTGTAATTAATAAAAAAACATAGAGATAAATTAGTGGGTTTCACCATCAGAAAAAAAAAAAAAGGTAACACAGTTATCGAAGTGTGTGTAGGAGAGAAAATTTGTCTTATGTGACGTGAGAATAGTTTTTCCCTTCAACATATATAAAAAAAAATTCGATTTTTCTGCTGTTAGTTACCGCAGATAAGTTATTTGCAGTAAGTCCAATACGACGTCGTTTTGGGGAAGAAATCAGGAAATCATGATGTTTTTATAATTTTAATCTATTTCAGAGTTATAATAGTCTTTATATTTATAATTTTTAAAAATTTCAATACCAAAACGACGTCATTTTGGGAATAATTGCAGATAACTTATCTGCAATAACTGCAGAAATATTTTTTTCATAAAAAAAAATTAAAAAATAATGTATCAATGTAGTGGGTAAATACCATAATTCATAACCCTTTTTTGTATGAGTACAATGGGAAAGAGAAAAAGTATAGTTATGAAATAAAATGAAAAGGGAAAGTTGGAGTGGGATGGAGAATGTATGGAGTGTCCATGAAACATCCTAAAAGGATTAAAGGTGATTGAAACAAAGAAACTAATGGGTCACATGGGCAGAGGAAGTGGGGACTTTTTCTGATTTGGTTGGCTTCAAGTCATGCTCATATCATGGCCCAAAGTTGGATGTGGGTCTCCTTCATTCTCATTAATTTTTAGTCTCATCCAATTTGAACCGTGTCTTACAACTAACCATTTAACACTTGGACTTTCAACACAACTATATAGAAAAGTACTTATCCATACTTAATTTCTACTCCTTTCCTCACCATTTTTTGAGGGCTTGTGAGGAATCAATAACTCAATTAAAACTGGATTTAAATCCTCTCATGTAAAAAAGTGATCACGTGATCATGTTATTTGATCACAATCACTTATTTAAAAGTCATACATTTTTTCTTTTTCTTATCTCATCATCAATGAGTGATTGTGATCAAATAACATGACCACATGAACATTTCTCCACATGAGAGGATCCAAATCTATCAAAACTACTGATTTATAGTTTAAGCTGAAGACTGAAAATTCAGTTTCTACTGTTTAATCTGAAATTTTCAACTTCAATTTTAAGCACCCTTGACTGTTTCGTAAATGCATGTTCGTCTTTCCCAAAGAAAAAAAAAATGACAACTAATATGGTGGGCATGTATTGATCACTATTAATCAGTTACCCTTCTATGACATAACCAAGGTCAAGGAAATTGATCTAAGAAAAAGAAAGAGAGGGGGAAAATGATATATGCAATCCAAGCTGGATGATATGTTTGTGTGACACATCCTCTTGTCAAAATGTAGTTTATTTTTTGGTAGACGGGGGTAGCATGATATGCCATCTTTTGAAGTGTCATAATTGCTGTTTCGTAAAGGGTGAAGTCTAAGACGGTTATCGCCAAATTTAAGTATAGTTAACCTAAGTTATTAGATGTGGGTTAGTGGTGGAAGCTTGGATAGTTTGTATGAGGATATAAATTCAAATATCAGTGTTATCAAGGAGCTCAAGTTTAAGTCAAGTGAAAATGAATCGGTTGGGGAAAAAAAATTAAGGTAAAAGAAGACTTTTTTCATTTTGAAGTCTAAGTTATAATTTGTTCTAGACCCATATACTGGATCCCTTTTTTACTACACGAAATGAACCTAGCCCAACATCAAGTAAAACTCCTCTATAAATAAAGGGTTAAACCTCATAGATAAAGACTTTGGAACCCTAATTCATATTTGTTGCCACTATATGCACACACTCCATAAGCATCTCTAAACCATAGGATCCTATAGCAACCCTTGATCCTCAGGGATCAAACATAATTTATAATGGCATATCATCTACTATTACTAATTGTGGGTCCTTGAATTCAAATTCAAACCATATAGTTGTCATGAATAAAAGATCAATTAGATGAGCTAAACACTGTTGGTGTGTAATAGAGTGGAATTTGAGTGTGAATGAAAAGTGATCTCTATTTTAACTTATGGAAGTATTTATACATGTGTTTTCAGTAGGGGTGTCAATATGGGTTTTGACACGCGGATCAACCCGCGACACGACACGAAAATTCGTGTTCGGGTTGACCTGTAAAAAAATCCGTGTCATGTTCGTGTTGGAAAAAATGACACGCAAAAAATTCGTGTCGTGTTCGTGTTTATGAATTCGTGTTCGTGTCGACCCGTATTATTTTTAATTATTATTATTTTATTATTATTTTTTAATTTTTTATTTATTTTCGATCTATTTTTTTAAAATTTTTTGTCAATTACTGTTTTGTCCCCTATTTTGCGTGTTATTCGTGTCGTGTCGTGTCAACCCGCAAAAAATTCGTGTCGTGTCAGTGTTGAAGATTTTGACACGAATAAAAATTCGTGTCGTGTTCGTGTTGATGTATTCGTGTCGTGTCGAATTCGTGTCGTGTCAACCCATATTGACACCCCTAGTTTTCAGGTGGAAATTACTAACAGAACCAAACAAAAAGTTATTAACTTCTAACCACCTAGGCTAACAGAGCTAATTGGACAATAATGAAATAACTAATACTTAATAAAATATGTTAACAATTCCCATCTTAAAACAATAGATTGTGAAATTAAGGAGCGTGATAGGGCTTGGTAAGATCTACAAATTAATATGCAGTATTTAAATGTACAAGCTTTGTGAAACCAGCAGCAATCTTCACCTGAATGAAATGACGTATGTTGTTCTTTGAGGAGAGGAAGGATTAGAAGCAATATTTTCTGCCTGATTGTAGCATATGACCGTGGAAAAATCTGTAGGAACCTCCAAATCTTGAAGTAAAGCTGACAACCGAATCATCTCACTTGTGACAGTTGCTAATTCAGTTTTTGCTGTTGACCGAGACACTGCATTTTACTTTTCAAAATTTTATCACCAATGAATACACAATAACAAGAGATTGATATGCGAATATATGGACAATTTCCCCAATCTACATCAGCATTTGCTCTAATGCTAGTCGAGGACTGTGAAGACAATAAGAGACACTAGACATGAGTGATTTTCGGATATCTCAATGGACGATGAACAACATCAAAATGAGTAGTTTGAGGTTTAGACCGAAAATGTCTGAGTTTGTTGTCATATCTGGCAGAATCTGAGTAGGAATGAAAAAGTGATATTTTTCATTAACTCAATGAGGTATTTATACAAGTGTTCTCACGTGAGAATTACAAACAGAACCCAATAGAAAGTTAACAACTTCTAACAACCGAGGCCAACTGAATTAACTATACAACAACAAAATGACTAATACTTAATTTGCTTTTACCCACAAAGCATTTTCAATGAGACTCAGAATCCTACACTACAGGTAAAAACTGCCCACATAGTTTTAGTTTGGCTATTGAGCCATATATAGCTAAAATGACTCTGATTGGTGAAAAAAAAATAGTAAATACCACTTGTCCATAGAAAAATCAATACACATCAATTCATTCTGAAAAATTAGCAAACTAATTCTGAGTAACAGCATTTTTATCGTAAAAAAAAGTAACATTTGATGTTATGCAAATATATAATCAAAAATATAAATTCAATCTTTGTAACTAGATTTTAAAACCCACATTTAAGTAGATCATATATTCTTACGCTTTTCCTGCTACAACTTAACGACTAAAACTGTTTTAGTCCGTCGAAAACGCATTTAGTTCCATCCATTCTGTTTGGGAGAAGTACGGAACAAATTGACACCCGAAGGGCAGGGACAACACTGGATTTTGTCCAGAACTTTGGAACAAGGGTAGCAATTAGCAAAAAAATAAAAAATTGTAATTATGAGAAGATAAATTTATGATAATTGATGGAGCATAATAAAAAGGTTCAACAAAGGTCACCACCATGCACGTAAATTCAAGCTATTAAACATTTTGGCCTGTTTCTCCTAATGAGCTTCACTACACATGATAAATGTAATTTTCAAATGAAAAAAATAATTAAAAAAAAAAAATATAGAGCTGCAGTGAGAGCTCTGCTTGGAAAAAAAAATATAAGTTTGGTAGTCTAAAAGGCATATAACTATTTGGAAAAAAATTTAGTTTGGTCTAGTCTATTAGGCATATAACTTTGAGAGCTCTTCTTGGAAAGTCTTTCTGATGACATCTCTCTTGATCTTAAGAGCTGCAGTGACTAGGCCAGACTCAGGAGTCCATGGGTCAGGAAGCAATTTAATTTTTGCAGGAATCTCAAATTTTTGCAAACGAGCCTTCTTTGCTCCCTGCAAATGTTTTGATAAATTATAATAATAAAAAAAGGAATAATATTACATCATTTGCAACAAGAAAAACAGTCAAGACGTTGCAGGTTGTACTTCCTAGAGTTCATTGAGATGTCAGTTTAAAGAGTACATACTAGAGATAAAAAATTTTAGCCCAAAATAAAAAAGAACCAACACAGAACTAAACGAAGCATCCTTCATTATTGTGTTACGTTATATTGCGGGGCACAAAATAGCATGCCTTGATTAGCTAGAAATGAGCTTTACAACTAAATGTAGGCCCCGTTTATTAGGGGTCTTCACTAGCATGCAATCTTATCTTATCTCCTTCACTTTACTAAAAAATATTTTCTTTTATTTAGGGAGCTATTGTGTTGACATATTAGACATAACTAAATTAGTATTAGATTTTTTAGTCAGTGACTCAGTAATGAAGAATAATATACTGATTGTCTGATTGAAATATCAGTCTCGTTGTCAAAATAAACAAGACAATTTCAATACTTAAAGGTGGATACTTTATTACCTTTTCATGGGGAAAAAAGCTTTACAAGACATTGAACCAAACTTATCATATTCACATGCAAAAGGTCTTCTTCCCTTCTCCCACTCCATGTATGTCATGAAATTGTGTTCAGTATCCACCATATTAAGGTTACGCTCGTTTAAGTAAACAATGGAAATAAGGAGGGGAGAAAAAAAAATTGGGACCAAAACGTTTTGATTTTCAATCATTATTGCTTGGTAGATGGTTAAAAATTACTTTCAACATTGTTTCATAATTCATACAATAGAAGTGGCCAAAATTTGTGGGGTGGATTCAAATGAGTTGAACTCTGCTTTCAATCATCCAACATTTTGTTGTACAAAGCAAATATGAAATCATTTTCATTCCAATTTTTCCACCTCCCCATTTTCCAACTGCTCAAACAATCATATTCTGGGACAATTTTAAGATGAAATACTGGTTTCAACCTCAAAAGTTTAGTTAACCTTAATTTAGATTTTACTTTATACTTAGACAAATGTACCTTCTAAAAGCTGAAAATTTTAATTCGAAAACAAGATGACTAAGTTGTAAAAGGAATTTGATACAAAAGGCATACCTTAACAAGTGATGCATGCACCTCCTTCCCAGTTTCTTCTTTCCTGCAAAGTTCTGAAAGATCAGAATAAGAAATTCCTTGCTTTGAAGCCCATTCCTCCAATGCGGGACGAGAAACCACCACAAGTGCCACACAGTAACTATGAAAAGGATCAGCATGCAACATAATATTGTCCACGAAGGGGCTTACAAGGAGAGCTGCCTCAACCTGTATTTAAATAATGTCATTAACCATTGAGAATGGTTCATTCCATAAACCAACAGTCATACCTTTCCCAAGGAGACATATTCTCCATGCTGCAGTTTAACTATGTCCTTTTTCCGATCAATGATCTCAAGGCAACCATCTGTATGAAATCTCCCTACGTCACCAGTGTAGAACCATCTCATTCCTCTTTCATCAACCTTTACAACAAAAGATACAATTTAGAAAACAAGACCAGCAAATCAGAAATTTCAATAACAGTAAACAGAACTATAAAGGACCAACTCATCTAAAAGCTTCAGCTTTTATGTGAAGGCTCATGACTGATTTTATATCTAACACGCTTCCTCAGTTCTCACGAAAGAGGCATTTGGACTTAAAATATGAATAATGCGTAGATCCATCTATCTTGTGTTGCAATTTGATTTTTATTTTGAAGAATGGAGGCGGTTGGGTCGAACTCCTAACCACTTAATTGTAATAGTCTTTGATACTATGTCAAGGACTCACTCTCCTAAAAGTTTAAACTGTTATATCAAGATTCATAAATGATTTTATATCTAAAAAGAACTATTACACCAACAGTATAATAACCCTAATTTGTAAAATGCCTAATTGCATTGGATTAATTATTTAATCATGCATAATTTAGATTAATTAAGAGAGAGGCTTAAATAAAAGAATTAGATTAAATATTAATCATGCACATTGTAGATAAAATAAGTGGAATACTTAGTTCAATCAATATAGAGTGTGTTTAAGTAGAAAACACCATTTTACGTGAGTTAGTGGGTTTAAGTGAAGGAAATGGGCTTTTATGCCAAAGGCCCTGTCAGCCACTTCTCGCTGGGGAGGGAGCTGTCCGACGAGCGTGGAATTGCTCGCTGGAGCGAGGAGCACGAAAGTTTGAAAACACTCACTTAAGTCACTCTCTCTCCTCACCAAATCATTTGCTCTTTACTGCAACCCGAGGAAGAGGCCATTAATGAGCATTTAGGACCTTCAAAAACCTAGTTTCCTCTACACACAATGGAATCAAGTGAGGTTGGAAGCAAAAGTGAATAGATTATCACCATTAACAAAACCCATAGCTTAGCATCCATTGTGGACGCTTGTGGGTGGAGATTTTGGCTTGGAAAAGTAGCGAAAATCTTGAAGTTTCAGGAGCTTGAGGTGTTGGAAGACATTCCTGGTGCCATTGTGTAGCCATTTGTGGTAAGCATTCCTAACCTCTTTGTGTTTTGAGTTAAAATGCAAAAATTAGGGTTTTATGGCAATGTGAGTAGGTTGGCTATATTGGAGTAGGATTGAGGCTTTGGGTATGTTGGAAAATATGCTTAGGATGAGATTTAATCGGTGGAAATGTGATTAGAAAACTGCTTGAATAATCTTCCTAGTTTTCCATAAATTGCATGCCTATGTGTTGGAGTTGCTTGTGTCTCAAGGAACACAAATGGATTGTATTGATGGTGTACTTGGTATTTCTAGGATCGGGACAAGTGGTCAAGATCTAAGAGGCCAAACACCAATTGAATCCATGGATTTGGATGTTGAAACTTGATTGAAATCAAGTGTATGTGAGTTCCTAATATCATTGTGATTTCGTGATGGAATTGCCTATGTTGATATGGATGTAGATGTATGTTCATATATATTGCAATTTGATTGATTGTAAACTCACCTTATGGTTAGGTGTTTTGGTCATTGAATTGTTTGGTTATTGCTTTGAGAATAAAGGTTGTGGTGAGGGACTTTGGGGCTTGGAGCAAGCATTGGTGGAGAGATTTACATGTAAGCTTTAGGGTTTTATCCTTTGTGATTTATCCCTTGATTGTTCCACCAAGACCGGTGGATTTTGGCTTATATGGTTGTGCAATAGATTGAAATATTGTGTGATGCTTGTTGGTTTATATGGTACATAACTTGTAAATCAAGTAAAGATAAGATAAATGTCTTAAATTATGAGGATGGATGGGATGTAAGTGCATCCTAGTTTGTTGGGCTAGAGGTTGTAATTCCATGTATATTAAGTACCCAAGAGGTGTGCGCAATGTGTAAGGAATGAGCCATGAAACAATAAGGATATATCCAAATTATGGCTCTGCTCGTTGGCGCGCTCGCTCCAGCGAGGAGGCCAGCAAGCTAAATAAATTGGAGACTGAAGCTAACTTAAAGCAGGGGACTCCTCACTCTCGCTCCAACAAGGGAGGCTGTGAGAAAACAGAGCACCTAGGCAGTAGTTGCTACCTCGGGTTTTGATTTGCTCGCTTGAGCGAGCTGAGCAATGTGCTCGCTTTAGCGAGCTTCTCAGTTATTTGAAAAAGGAAAATAAGGTTGTGAGGCTTATGGGAACCCCATAGAAATGTCTAATAGGACTAGTGTGATATTATTAAGCAAGAATTAATTATTCTACAATGTCGCTGAGTTACAATTACCGTTTCGGTTTATTTTATATATGGTAATTATTATTAATGGAACATATAACGTTTAAAAAGAAAAAGTCTAGTCGTATTTTTAATTGAACTGTTATGATTGTAACTACGATTAATATCATACGTAATGATAACATCGGAGTACTACGGGGTGTTACAAACAGCAATTAATCAGAAATGATATCTTATCCCAAGCCGCCTTTTTCCCCACAATAAAAAGAAAAAAAGAACATGTAGTCATACCTTGTAAGATTCTTTTGTCTTTTCTTCATTTTTGAAGTATCCAAGAGTAACATTTGGACCACCAATTACAATTTCACCACGAGGCATCGGTGAGTCATTAGTTGAATATCCACCTTCAGGCCAGTCAACTAGCTGAGCAAAGAATACCAAATGCTGGCATAAGAAACATTCTTTTGAACGCAGAAAGAGAAAGTAAACCACCATTATAACATAGTCATAGCAGAATTCATGACTAAAAGCCTCTCTTACATCGCACTATGATACAAGAAAGCAAGATAACAACAATGATTTCCTACCAAGCAAGAATTCTGAAGGTTCATGAAGATGATAGATGTCTAACCATTTCTATTGACTTTTTCAGTTTCAACATCTAGAAAGATTTCAAAACACACTTGTAATAGGAAGCATAAATAACTAACAAATTGGAAGCTTAGTAGTAGATTAATAGTGATTATTGGTACATAAAAAAATGTAAAAAATAAAATCATCCTTTATACTAAGAATATTTTTGGATGTGCATAAAAGAAAATTTTCCATATTGAGAGAGCCTGATAAATTTTAAAAATGCCGGGAAGTTGGGCTTAACACACTTTTGTAATTTTTGCTGAAGATGATATGATATAGCAAATACAGGACAATTAACATCCAAGTAAATGGTCCAATTATTAATTTATTTGTATTGTTGTTGATCCAATTGCTCTATGGCCCTTCTCATGGTGAGTGCAATAGGATTTCAGGTTGAGATTGTATAGCTATGCTATGTTATTGTCTCAGTCATTTTATTATTATTATTATTATTAGGGTTCGTTTTTTCTGTAGTGAATGCAGATAAGTTATCTGCATTTAGCCTAAAACGATGTCATTTTGGAGCAGAAATCAAGGTGTTTTGTAATTATAATTTATTTCAAGATTGAAAGTCTTTATCATTATAATTTTTTAGTGAATGTAGATAACTTATCTATATTCACTGTAGAAACATTAAAGCCTTATTATTATTATTATTATTTGTCTCATTTTGGAGGATATCTTATCCTCAGTTCTTATACTTCTCTCTCTCTCTCTTATCTCCTAAAAAACATCTTACATGGTTGAGTCAATTCTTTGGGTTGTACAAAGTCACTTGTGTATCCCAAATAGGTTGAGACTAATGATCACGATATGGAGAGAATTATATGTGTCAGTTGAAAATGGCCCAAACTAATAGAAATAAGAATAAATTTTGGTTATGCATGAGAATGTACATAACAAAGTAATAATAAATAAATTTAGGGATCTGAACTATAGATGCCTAGTTCAAATCCCTAAATTCAAAATAGATGCCTAGTTAACAGAATATCTCAAGTAGGAAATACACATTAATTGTGCTTAACATGTGCAATGATATAAACTGCAAGGAGTAACTGCTCCAAATCTACTTGAGTGTCATATTGCATTAAACACCAGTATAAAATGAAACCCATATAAATTTCAAAATAAAGAAGAAAAAAAAGTAACATGTATTTTTGTAAAATAGTCCTTGAAGTTAAAATGTACGAAGGTGAATTAAATTTGATCAATTACTACCTTAATATATGAGCAAGGAAGAGGAGGTCCAACACGGCCAACAGATGAATCGTCAAAATCAGAGAATGTCCCACCAGCACAAGTCTCTGTGAGACCATATCCTTGACCTATTGGAGCGCTGAAAATGACAACCAAATATAAATGTGACAGAAAAAGAGAATACAGGAAAGCTGAAAAGCAAAAAAGAAAAGAAGTACATGAGTAGAGCTAGTGGCCCAGTAATATTTCCTTTAGCAGAGACCATTCGAGAGTGAATGAACCATTTCCTTTAGAGGGCCAATTTACCCGTAACAAATTAATAGAAGTAGGGTGATACTTAAAGTGTTAAATTGTTTGTATTGAATTCAGTTAATTCTGTATAGTTAGGGAATAGGGAGGTTACATTTGTAACAGAACATAGCTAGATATGGAATATTCCAGAGTATGGCTTTCAGCCTTATATATATTGTATGACTCCTGTAATTCATGACTCATCAATATGATAAAGATTCAATTCCTCATCTTTTTTTTTTATTTTCTCTCAAATTTTCTTTCCTTTTCTCTTACTTTTCATCTCTTTGATGGTATTAGAGCTCCATTCTTGGGGCCTGATACATCACTTTCTCACCAACTATGGCTTCTGCTCCAGCAAATACCACAGATACAGCTTGGACACCTTCTGTAGATCCAAAAACACCTCTAATCTTTAATACTCAGCTTTCAGTCAAATTAAATAGCAAAAATTTTCTGCTTTGGAAACAATTCATAGAACCTCCTTTAATTTCACATCAACTAGAGCGATTCTTGATAAATCTGAAGATTCCATTACATTTGCCTATCTGAAGAAGATAGTCTTGCTGAAAATGTCAATCCTGTGTTTGTCAAATGGGAGAGAATTGACAAGATGTTTCTCCCCTGACTTCAATCTACCATCAGGCTTAGGACAAGATACATCGCTATTTCAGCTATGTGACCAAGGCCAAGGAAAGCCAAATGAGATCTGATCTCTGAAACATCAAAAAGGGGGGTAGAAGCATAGAGGAATTCCTTTCTCAAATCAAGGCTCTGGTTGATACCCTCACAGTAATGTTTCTTATAAACAGGTCGCCCACAACAGCCCTCAACTATTGGATGTGCTTGTTATCCATTACTTCGACCCTACAATCAACATAAATTGAGCTTTCATTCCAAGGAGTGTGTTCTAGGGCTATTCTCAACATTGCAAAGGGTACAAGTGTCTTGCTTTAGATGGCAGAATATACATTTCAAAGGATACTGTATTCAATGAACTCAAGTTTCCTTTTCCTTCTTTTTTCCCCTCAAAGACCAAGTCTAATCACACTCCAATGTCTGCATACTCTAACATCATTCTACCCCATCAGCCTTTTTGGCCTCAATCTGTTTTGACATCATCTCACTGTACACAATCCCCTCCATCAGTTCCTAACACTGTTGGACATTCTTCTCAGTCTCAGGCCCTATCACCTTTTAACTCAAGAGTATCTCATCACATATCTTCCTCGGTCAGGAGTATTTCTTCATTGTCTTCTCCCATCTCTCCTTCAACTTCTCACCAAAACTCTCATTCCTCTAACTCATCAGATCAAGTCCAAGGTACTCTTGCATCAGTTTCCCCCTTTATTTCATCACCTTTTGGTCCATCTTGTCCCATATCTCCTTCAATTTCTCACCAAAACTCTAATTCCTATAACTCATCAGGTCAAGTCCAATGTACCCCTGCATCAGTTTCTCCCTCTATTGCCTCCTCACAGTATCACACTTCTTCTGATTTTCCTCTCTCTTCTAGTTCTAAATACTTACCTCCTCCTTCTTTACATATCTCATACACACTATATTAATAGTAGGTTTAAAGATCCACCTCCGTCTATTTTTCTTACACATACTAAACCTACTAATCTCAAAGAGGCTCTTGCTGACCCTCAAAGGCTCAAACCCATGGAGATTGAATTTTCTGCTTTGTAGGCTAATGGAACCTAATCCCTGGTGCAGCTCCCTCCCACCGGCAAGCCGATAGGCTGTAAGTGGATGTTTAAAGCCAAGAAGAATCCAAATGGCACAGTTAATAAATGCAAGGCGAGGCTGGTGACTAAAGGCTTTCATCAATAGCCTGGTTCAAACTTCAATGAAATATTCTCCCCCTTTGTCAAGCCTGTCACAATAAGAATTATTCTCATCAAAGCTATGACCTATGGCTAGTGTCTTGAACAATTGGATGTGAACAATGCATTTCTCAAATGGGGAGCTAGTTGAGGAGGTTTAAATGGCCCGGCCTCTGGGTTTTGAAGCATCTAATAAGTTCCTAATGTGCAAGCTACATAAAGCCATCTATGGCCTCAATCAGGCTCCAAGAGCCTGGTTTGAGAAGTTTGGACAGATGTGATCCTTCTATCTTTATCCTTCAAGTTAATGGTAACTGCACTTATGTCCTAGTGAATCTAGATGACATATTAGTCATTGGGAATAATTTGACTTCATTCACTCTCTTATTACTAGACTAAATTCAGAATTTGCTTTAAGACAGTTGGGGAACTTAGATAATTTTCTTGGAATTGAGGTGAAACACCTTTCCCAAGGGAGGTTCTTACAGTCTCAAGAGTAAATATATCAAGGACCTTCTATCTAAGGCTAGAATGGTTGATGCAAAAGGAATTTGCACTCCTATGCCTAGTGGACGTAAACTAACCAACTTTGGGTGTGTTTTATATACAGGACCCACACTTGTACAAATCAATAGTTAGAGCCTTGTAGTATGCAACTTCACACGGCCAGAAATAGCCTTTAGTGTTGACAAGGTGTGCCAATTTCTAGCCCAACCGATAAAGGAACACTGGAAGATTGCCAAATGGATCTAATATGAATCTTGGGAGAGCTTTACCCCAAAAGCTAGCTTGTAATGAAGGAGAACTCAAAGTCTACATAAACCCTATACCAGAACCTTATGTTTTCGATATAGGACTCCAAGTCTTATACCTTGCAACTAGATTGTAACAACCCACGACGCTCCGCAGCCTCGGCGCCCACGTGGCCTGGCTTAGCGGTGATTTTTATTAGCTCTGGGCAAAAACTGCAATGCCAGCGTCACGAGTCGCACTGCTCGATAGCAACTGGGGGACATGGTGAAAGCTCTGATACCAATTGATACGAACCTGAGGAGAGCCACACTCCAAAAGCTAGCTTGTAAGGTTGGAAAGTCCAAAGTCCGTATAAATCCCACACCAGAACCTTATGTTTTCGATGTGGGACTCCAAGTCCCATACCTTGCAATTAGATTCTAACGGGACCCTCAAGTACCTTAAAGGTACACTAACATATGGATTATTTCTTCATCCAGCTCCAGTCAACCAATCTCTTTCTCCAGTTGCATTTTGTGATGCGGATTGGGGATCTGACCTTGATGACCATAGATCTACTTAGGCTCTTGTTTACTCTTGGGCTCTAATTTGACATTATGGTGGTCAAAGAAACAAACAATGGTAGCCCAGTCTAGCACATAACTGAATGCCAAAGTCTTGCTAGTGCAACCTCTGAAATTTTATGGGTCCAAACTCTCCTCCAAGAGCAAATCAGGACTCCTATTGTCTATTGTGACAACCAGAGTACAGTTTCACTTTCACATAATCATGTCCTTCACTCAAGGACAAAGCATATGGAGTTGGATCTGTTCTTTGTCAAAGAAAAAGAGCTCGGTAAGTCTCTAATGGTCCAGCACAATGATAAGAACCTTAGGATGCACCACCCCAAAAGCTAGCTCAAAGAGTGGGAGTGCCCAAGACCTTATAAACCCCACATTAGTTGCCCATACAACCAATGTGGGACTCCCATACTTATTAATCTCGGATAGCAGCACGTAGCGGCTGACCCTCCATATTGCTATAGCGGGCAGCGCTACAACGCTACTGTGCAAAGTGTACCTAAGTGATACACTAAGTTGTACTCCACAAATATAAAACTTAAAATGTGAAAATGTGACATAAAAAACAAATTTGAAGTATCTCAAACTCAAAAATAATTGATTTCAAATATTAAAATTCAAATCATAAGAAAATTGAAGGAATTAATGTCTCAAATAATGTAACACAACAAAATAAAGTGGCAAAATTAGTCAAAATTCAAACTACCACTTGAGTGAAATGTCAAAATCAAAGAACTTAAGGAACTAATCATAATTGAAATCATGAACATCCAAATCTTCATCTTCACTTTAACTTGTATCTAAGTTGTAAATCTCTTCCTTCTACGATGAGAACACTTTTGCAGAAACTATTGTAGCCACAGTAGCGGTCGCTACATCCGCTACACTTCACCTGACCGTAGCGGCGCGGTCTGTGGCGGCCGGCCACTGCACCGCAACGCAACTCCGCTATAGCGCGCTAAAGCGGGGCTATTTACAAGTATGGGGACTCCAAGTCCCATACCTTGCAAATGGGATCGTAACATTCCACCACGCTCCGCAGCCCCGGCGCCCACGCGGGCTGGCTTTGCGCTAGTCTTTTACTAGCCTCGGGTGAACACTGCAATGCCGGCGTCACCACCCGCGCCGCTCGATTGCAACCGGGAGGCATAGTGGAAGGCTCTGATATCATTTGATAAGAACCTCAAGATGCACCACCCCAAAAGCTAGCTCAAAGAGTGGGAGTGCCCAAAACCTTATAAACCCCACATTAGTTGTCCATACAACCAATGTGGGACTCCAAGTCCCATATCTTGCAAATGGGATCGTAACACACAACCTTGCACAGCTGCAAGTAGCTGATACCCCGATCCTCCCCTAGATTTTGTGAGTTAAGGACAAACTTAATGTGCTGGATTCCTCTCAGTTGGTTCAACCCACCTTGAGTTTGAAGGGGGTGTAATAGAAGTAGTGTGATACTTAAACCATTAAACTGTTTGTATTGAGTTCAGTTAGTTCTGTGTAGTCAAGGAAGTTACATTTGTAACAGAATATAGTTAGATCTGTGTAGTTAAGGAAGTTACATTTGTAACAGAATATAGTTAGATCTGGAATATTCCAGAGTATGGCTTTCAGCCTATATATATTGTACGACTTCCGTAATTCATGACTCATCAATATGATACGGATTCAGTTCCTCATCTCTATTTCCTTTTCTCTCATATTTTCTTTCCTTTGCTCTGACTTTCCATCTCTTTGACAAATAAAGGAGTTCAAATTTCCAAGATAAATAAGCAAACCCACAGAAAGTGAGAATTATTGTTAGTATCAGCTATCAAGCCCAATTGAACCATATTATTCACAGGTCAAAACAGAGATGAGCAGTTTACACATAATGTTGCAAGCTTCCCTATCTTGACTTAACTGACACTGCTAATATGCAACTGTGCAAGTGGAAATATGCTAAAGCAACATCTGGCTTGTGATATTGATTTGGGAACAAAAGAAACAACTTATACTGCCGTCAATTCATCAATAAAAGAACAATCGCTGTAAATTGCTTGTCCTAAGTTCGGTGCTCTAGTGCTTGGTGGTCATGACTCGTGACAGAATAAATAGTTCAAACTTCAAAAAGTTTAATTAGATTCTATTTTTAAGGCTCGTTTAGTAGACAATACAGGATAAGGATGGATAGGATAAGAGTAGAAAATTATAACCTCATATCCTATCCTCTATTTGATGTGCACAAAATACGTAATATAATAAGACAATGTTATCCTATCATGTGTTTTAGGTGAACCATATAGTGATACGATATGATATAAATAGAAAAAAAAAACACTCTTTATAACATAAATTCATAAAAAAAAAAAAACAATTCAAATATATTTCTAAGAGGGAGGATATTCTCACTACCAAATTTTTTCACTCCCAACTTACTACCTTTCTATTTACCATTGAATCAAAGAGAGAGAATGCTAAAAAGTTTTTAAAGAGAGAGAAAATGTTAATCCAATGATGATTAGATAGGTAGTAAGTTGGTAGTGGAAAATTTTGGCAGTGAGAATATCCCTCCTCTATTTCTAAACTGCTTTCTTTTTTTCTCCTCTTATTCATACATTAGTTCTTATTTTGCAATTACTGAAAAATTCTAAAAGTCATAAGTTTAAATAAGATTTATTAAAATACATAAAATAACTAAATAATGGAGGGTTTATACTTACAACCTCTTTTCCTTTACAACCATTTTTCTTATCATTGGATCAAAATCAAATCAACGATTTCAAAATGGCATCAACCGTTGATTATAAAAGTAATTGTAAGAGGTTGTATTAGAAACTACGTCGTTTTATTTTGTTTATTTATTTCCTTATATTAATTGATTCACCTTTAAATGATTATAATTTAGTGGCCGAAGTTATCTCAAGTGACTTAAGAACGATAAGCCCTAAATATATATATTTGCTAAATAAATTCTTAAAAATAACTTTGAAATCGATTTAATATTTATATATGTAACAGGAAAGAAAGCAAGTTTGGAGTAGTGGTAAAGCTACTTATTTGTAACTAAAAGGTCATTGGTTCGAATTTGGGAAACAACCTTTTTGCAAACATACAAGAGTAAGGCTGCGTATAAGGATTGTTCTAACCCCACCCTAGCTAATAAGGTTTAATGGGGAGTGGTTTAGGTATGTAGCACGGCAAAAGTAATTTGAATAACATTAACACGACAAAAACAATTTGAATAGCATCAACACGAAAAAATAATTCACAAGCAATTACAACACAAAATAATACAATTTGGATTGTAATTTGCTTAGTGGATAGAAATAATTATTAATCATCTCAAGCACACTGCGCGCCATATTCAGATAGAGTTAGAGATTTGTTGCTCAATGAAAGTTGATTAATTTTTTTTCAAGAACAAACGTCACGTGGACAGTGACCCCAACTAGTTTGAGATAAAGGTGTTGTTGATATTGATATTAAATAAACGTCACAATGGTGTGGCAAGCCGTGGCAATGGTGTTGGCTAGTGGTAGTGGTGGTTTTGGCTAGTGGTGACAATGATGGTGCTAGCTGGTAGTTGGTGCGGTTGACTTGCACGTTCTCAAGGAAGCTTCAAGGAGGTAGAGGGAGAAGAATTTTCTATCCTATCTAGTTGAATCCTAAACCACCCCCCACCCCCCTTATGATAGCTTATCAAACTGCGGGTAGGATAAATTAAGGCAACAAGATAAGCTTATCATATTATAATGGCTCACCAAACAATGGATAAGAATGGAATATGATAGTTTATCCTATCCTACCTCCACTAAGTCCACTAAACGGAACCTTATGAGATATGGTGGTCTTTTCAGCTCATGGTTATTTTATAAGGATCTCATGGGCCGACATGCAGCAACTGGCAAGTTGGTTTATTGTGAACTTCTGTACTGTTAATGACTTAATGTTATTTTGGTTTCTTTGGGAGAATATTATCCTCTGGCATTATGTTTCACTCCTTTTATTCTCTAATGATATTTCTTCTTTTATTTGCAAAATTAAATAAATAAATAAATAAAAAATGACAATACTGACCCAAGACAAATATTGATGAATCTTTGGGTATCAGCAGAAAGGGGAGCACCACCACACAGTATAAAACGAATGCGACCGCCTAGAATTGCTTGGACCTTTTTAAACACAAGAAAATTCCATAGAGCTTTTTCCAAGCCCCAAGCACCAAACCAACTACCATTCATTGCATGCAACCTCCGAGCATAGGCTAAATCAAACAATTTCTTTGAAAGTCCTCCCTTTGCACTTACCTGCATGATCAGGCTTTAGTCTTGCTACACTAACTAAAACCAAAAGGTTCATTCAACAAGCCAGTAACACACGCACATTGATGTATAATATGTAGGTAGATATTATTTAATTGCATTACAAATCAAATACCTTCTTGAGCACTCCATCTCGTACACGATCAAGTATTGCTGGTACAGCTGCCATCACAGTTGGCATCAATGCAGTTGCGTCTCCCTGTTTTCCCTTTTTTATCTTGTTTGATGTATCAGTTAGAGTCAAAGGAGATCCATATCCTATACAACCTCCAACAGCTGCAATTAAATTCTAAAACAAGTAGTTGAGTTTGTCAGTACATGCAAGATAGGAGATCAGAGGAAATAAAATGCAAACAAAATGCCCTATAAACTAAAATATTTATCCAATTCACTCGCCGAAGTAGATACCCATACCTCAGCTACTAATTCAAGGATATGAGCCATTGGTAAGAACGCTAAATATGTATCCTTTGGCCCAAGGTTAGGAACTATTGTCATTACAGCAGAGACTGTTGCTAAGACATTGCCATGTGTCATCATCACACCCTGTGCAAAAGAAAGAAATTCAAGAAATAGTATAACAAAAAAGAAATAAAGGAGAAAAAAGGATCACGAAAAAGAATGTAAAAAAAATTGTGAGGTAAAAGAAAGTAAAAAAAATTATGGTCTCATTTAGACAAGTATTTAGTAAAGTCAACCCATTGAAGGGATAGAAAAAGTTGACATTAGAAGAACTACATGTCTCGAAGATGCTCCTAACCTTAGGCAATCCTGTACTTCCACTTGTGTACATTATAACTGCAACATCTGCTGAAAGGGGTAAATCAGCCTCAACAGGATTTTCTCTACCAAGTCTCTCGACATCAGCAAAGGAGGTGACTGTCCAGCCATGCTGAGCAGACAAGGCATCAGATGGGATATCATCATCAATGCATATTACACGTTTCAGTGAGTCAAGCTGTCCACTAATATGTACAAGTAATCTCAATTCTTTGCGCCCACATATCACAGTCGTAACCTCTGTCTGGCACAGATTTTAAAAAGTGAGGTTACGCAAAAAGAAAAAAGAAAAGAGCACAGAAACCAAAATGATGGTGAAGAAGAATATCAATTCCAGTGAACTATTTTAAAACATAAAATGCAGAAAATAAATCTCAATACTAAGAACTTCAGCTAAATTAAAAACAGTATGAAAAAAGTTGAGCTTTTTACCAATATATAAAATTTAAATACCAGAAATTGTATGTTGAGCAGTTGTGTGATTGTTTACAAATAAGTAAATTATAAATGAAAGCGGAAAAGAAGAGAAATGAGGCTAAGGCCTAAGACTAAAATGAAGAACTTGTCTGTGAGAAATTGGAAAAGAAATAATACCTTAGTTTACTTAAAAGTAACCACCACCACCTGGGTTTTCAGTTTCCATTATTCCTGGTTTCAATAATGAATAATAAAATATTGAGATCTTAAGCATCTAATACTCAAGCTCCCCTCAGCTGGCCTCACATCCCAACTCTCCTTTCCTTCACCTTATCATCTGATTAAGTTTCTTTCCGTTCTTATTTAAAATTATAAAGAATATCTACATTGTTTTGTCTACAAAATTTGTGAACTTTGTATTAATACTGACCTTAAGAGACGTGTGTTATTCATTTAAATTATGCCACATTAAGAGGTGCCAATAACATTTATTTGGCGTGCATGGTTGGAGAGGAACATAAGAAATTTTAAGGAGCAGTCTACGCTTTGACTTTTCTTGTGAGACAGGATTATCTTTGTGGCATCTCTAGTTGATCTGCTGCTACTGCTAGTGTAAAATTTTAGAAAAGCTAAATTTTTAAAGACATTAAAAGAAAATATATAGCTTTAGAATTTTAATTTCATCGTCTTCCTCTTTTTTTCATCATATCATGAGGGTGAGTACGAGAGCAAGCTTAGAGCAACAATATAGTTGCTTCTTGTGACCGGAAATTCACGAATCTAGGAAACGGGCTCTATACAAAAATGCAAGGATAAGACTGCATACAATCGACCCTCAACTCTAGCCTCGCAAGTCGGAGAGCCTTGTAAACAGGGATTAACCCTATAACTATCACAAGGATGAGTATATCTTATTCGATGTTTTGAAGAAATTTGTAGCTTCTTCTCTCTTCTGTTAAATTTTTTCATATCACTATAAAGTGAAACATAAAGAAAAGCTGGCAAAGATCTGATTCTGTTCCTTAACACTAAACCAATGAACTATGTTAGCACAGCCAAGGTAGCAAAATCATATGATATCGCAGTTCTCTGTCTGGAATGAGTGACATAAACAGAGAGCAAACCTCATTGAATGAATGACATAAAGCTTCCTCTCCCAAGGACGGATATATAGTCACAACTGTCACATTTCTCCTGAAGCAACCCTGATCAAACAAAAGTATGAAAAAAATAAATTAAAAAAAAATTATTCTCTTGTCTACAGGATCAAAACTGAAAGAAAAGCAGAAGCTGAGATTGTTTGAAGCAAAAAGACAAACACCTGCAGTGCAATAAACCATTCTTCCCTGGTATCCGCGAAGATAGCTGCACGCTCTTCCCTGAGATGGCCAAGCGCTGCCAAACCAGAGGCGAAACTTGAGACGGATTCAGAAACTTTCCGATAGGTGAGCCATTGATAATCTCCAAGATGAAGCTTCTCGAAGCTTCTTCCGTCCTTGGTGGTCTCAATCTCGCTTGATATGATCTCGCGGGTCCCGAGCAACAACCTCTCCGAGTGCACCCTGCATGCACGCTCAAACAGCTCCGCCAGAGTCGTCACGCCCTCCCACGCCGAACTCAATGGCGAATCGAACCGGTGGTTACTCACCGCATAGCCGGGCTCGCCACCGACGTTCGCCGGCAACCCGCGGCGCTTCCGGTTGTTGGAATTCCGGAACAGGAATATGATGAGAGGAACCAATAAGCCGATAGTGTACGCGTTCATCCCTAACCAAACCAGGTCAATTCAAAGCAACGTGATGTTATTTATAGTGGCGAATCGGAGAAAACGAGGAGGATGTTTGTTTTTTTTTTCAGAATTCAGAAAAACAAGTCATACGGTGCGGTTTTCCGTTTGTGATTGTGATGAACAAAAGTTAAGAACGAAGTTGCATTGGGATCAAAGCAATGTAGGGAAGAAGAAGAAGAAGAAGAAGGAGAAGAAGGGAATCTGAAGAGTGGACATAGAGAGTGTTGTGTTGCTATCACACGGGGGCGGACACACCAAGGAGAATCAGGTTTTGAGCTGAAACTTTTTACGTTTTTTCCTTTTGTCTCTCTCTCTCTTTTGCTAAAACAATATTTTAAGCATCTAACTTTTAGTTTAATTTTTAGAAAAATGTTATATTTATTATTATTTTAATACGCTGGGTTTATGCTTTTTTTCCTTTTAAGATTATATATATTTTTATGTATTTATAAAAGATAAAATTATTTTATATGAAAAATATTAATATCGTAAAAAAATGGGTTTAGATAAGTTATGGAAAGGTAACATGAATTGCTCAACTGTCTTCAAATCATAGGGACATTAACCGTACTATTCCTTTTTTAATATAATATAAGGTTTTTTAAGAGTTACGTGCAGAAAAAGTGATTATGTAATATTATAGAGATTCGTTTTGCGTGTCGTAATTTTTTTTTTTGCTTCAAAAAGAGTGGGCCCCACAAAATGTTGTGTATGTAGGAAATTTTCTTGTGTCATTATGTTAAATGATAAATGCAAACTCCTATAATATATCTGAATGTTACGGAGTCAAAAAAAAAATTGAACCGATACGGTACCATAGTCGTTGAGATAGTCAGCTACTATGGACGGAACACATGTCACTTTCCTAGTGGCTGGAAGGCCTGGTTGTACCAAAGTAGCTGACTACCCGTGACTTTGAGTTGAATGAGTTGCATGTCCCGCTACAGTCACTGAAGACGTCCAGTCCATCATAACTTACTATTTCAGCGACTATGGTGTTATGACAATTTAAAAAGGAAAAAAAAATTGACTCCTAGAATTCAGATATATTATATTAAAAAAGAGAGCGGTATAAAAGAATATTTTTTATTATTTATGGAGGATCGAGATGTATATTGAAAACAAGTTCAGTATATTGGAAAGTGATTGTGGGCCTCAACAAATAATAGGGGTGTCTTGCATGCGGCCCTGAATGCCATGCTCTATTCGCATGCTGCTTTCCATCTCAGAACCAAAAGGGAAGAGTCGGAGCCGTGGACACAGTTGGTTAAGGATTTGGTCCCTACTTCTTAAGGGTGTGGGTTCAAATTCCGCTGGCCGATGTGAGGATTTTGTTGATAGATGATATGTAATCTCTCTCAGAAATCCTCAAAGAGGTTGGGAGGTCTTCCCTGACCCTAGTGGAATACCGATGTCTAACTCCACTTAAACTTTTATTTAAAAAAAAAAAAAAAAGGGAAAGAGTCGGAAGACAGAGAAAGAAAGAATGAGTGATGATGAAAATGGGACCATCCACCCCCACCTGTTCGATTATAACCTGTACAAGTATAACGAATTCAAGGCTTTAAAGATCAACCCATCCTTCTCGTGTCACGACTCTTTATTGTAAAAATAAAAAATCTACATAATTTTAAGGAAATAGTTATATTTACAATAAGTTTACGACTTCTTACAGCTTATTAATTACGTCAGATTATTTGATTAATCAACTATGCACAATCATCTCATAAAATATTGGAAAACACATTTCTCATGTTCGATAAGAAATAAGCTCAACCAATTCAATCCAAAAACTTAAATTGTTAGTGAGACTACATTAATAATTTTATATATCTCAACATCTCATGTCATGATTTTTTAATTTAAGTGCAAAGCTATTTTTTTAATAAATATGGGATTCACCCCTAAATTCTTATACAAAATAAGAAAATCAAACCCATGTAATATTTTACTTCGACAGTTTCCCTTCCTTTCACCATCTCCCTCTGCAGATGATGTTTCTCTTTTCCTCTCTCTGCAAACCGGCTTTCTCCCTAACTCTTTTGTTGTTTCCATTCTTAGTAATGCAAACCACAAGACAACCTCAATCCCTCCGTAAATTAATTCTAAGTATTGTTATACGGTGAAATTATTTCTGAATTATTAGGCTATAATAACCCCTATTGATGTTAACAATATATTTAACTTTTCCGATCTTGGTTCATCTGATAATGGAAAATCAAAAACTGAACCTGGTATGGTATAAAATAGTCTACTATGAAATCGTCAGCAACCCATTATCTTTCTCCGTCTTTCATGAAGCCAAATATTTATTTTCAATTTTAGGGCTCGAATCAAAATTTGCCAAAAAAAGTGACCAAACTTAAGCCTTTGATGTACAATGCGTTCGGCAATTATTGAATTTACTTGCAATTCGTGAAGCAATTTTAATTGCTGAGAATGGTGAGAGAAAGTGAAACTGACAAAAGTTGTGTGAGAAGATTGTTGACTGTTGATTAACCAAAAAATCTAACAGTAATTAGTAGACTCTCTTTTAATTTTAATTAGGAAAAACACTTCTTCTCATGTTACATGAGAAAAGTGTTTTTTATGTTTTAATCCTTCGATTTATATGTAAAAATCTTTTTTATAAAAAAATATGTGTGAAGTCACTATTAGTCGAATCACAACATGAGAAAACACTTTGATGCAATATGAGAAGTGTTTAACTATAGGTGTTTGCAGTCTGAATTAGATCGATTTTGAAGCAAAAATCATCCGATTCAATCTTTCAGTTTGATTTAATCATCATTCGGTTTGATATTTTTTTTAAAATTTGATCCAATCCAATTTTATTCGGTTTAAATTAGATTGGATTGAATCGATTTTTGATTTTTGATTTTTTTAAAAGTCTAAAATTTCAATCATACAAATCACTAGCTATATCGAAATAATGCTATTCAAATTTACAAACAACTGAAAAATTCAAATATTCAAACTAAAACAAGTTTTAAAAGTCATGAAGAGTTAAAATAGATTAATAGACAATAAAAAACTAAAACAAGATAGTTTATTATCAATAACATTAAAGATTTCAAGTCTATAAAACAACAATTTAACCCAATTTTAAATGATAATATATTTACATTTAATTATTCTAATTTTTTAGTTACATACGTTGTTAAATACTAATAAGATTAATTACTAAGATTAGAAATATAATTTATATTAGTGTAAAATAATTAATATGCATATATATATAAGTGAAATGTAAAATTAAAATAAAGAGAAAATAAAAATTGTTCCGTCGGGACTAAAGTGGCCTTTGAATCTATTCTCCTTTGGTGGCTTTTAGAGGTGTAATAGTGGGCGACAAGTGATGGTTCATCTGAAGGTTCCATGCCAAGTCAGTAAATACAATATGCATAGTAATGCAAAAGCGTGAAAATCCTCACCTTGAAGGCATGTGCCTTGTACATATTAGACAGTAGTGAAGATTTTTATTCAAAATATGATTTAATATAATGACGAGTGATATTTTTATTACCAAAAATTTTTACTACCAACTCATTACTTATCTAATCATCATTGGATCAACATTTTCTCTTTTTTCAAAAAGTTTTTAGCATTCTCTCTCTTTGATTGAATGGTGATTAGATAGATAGATAGTAAGTTAGTAATAAAAAAATTTGGTAGTAAGAATATCCTCTCTCTAATATAATATATTAAAAAAATTATCTATTTTTACTTAACAATTTAAGTTTTTGGAATAAATGGTTGATTCACACAATATATGTGACATAGTGTTCCATAATTTAATTATTACCGCCTTAATTCTTCTAATAAGTATTATATAAATTATTAATATAAATATATGAGGATGTATATCATCATCTACTCTTCAAGTCAAATAGTTATTATTTGAGAGGACATACTAAAAATAAATATGATATATAAAATCATTTATCTAGACAAATTTTTTGAGAAAGATGTTTGCTTCACAATTTCACAATGCATAAGGTGAGTGGGTGATTACTCTAGGGATCATGGAAACAAGTGACATTCTCGTGAATTATTTAGTGTCAGTTTGGTAGGCTTTTTTTTAGTTTTTCTTCTCTTTATTAACATATACTTAGTCAAACAGGTTTTTATAATAAAAAAAAGCTTTTTTAATAATGAAAAAAAAAAAATCAAAAGCCAAAAGTTCCTAAAAGGGTTTTTTTTTTTTAAGTTGTATCAGTTTTGAAATGAATAAATTTTAAACTAAAAAAATTATATAATCATTAAATATTTTGTAGATTAATTTTTTTTTAAAAAATTAACTTTAACTTAAAAGTAATTTTTAGTTTAAAACAAAAAAGGTGCTAAACATGCTTTTATAAAGGTTGAAGAAGCTATGCTTTGCGTACGTATTCATGTGTTGAGCACGACAAATTGGCCCATCGGGTTAAGTTTTTTTTTTTTAATAACTATTGGCTGATGGGTTGGGTTAAGTTTATAGAATGCAAGCCCAAATGGAAGACCCCTTGGGTTCCAGGGAGGAAGTTGGATCACTCATTGACTTCTGAATATTTCATCAACTAACAATATTTGTACAAAAACATATCTTCATAAAGGGATATTGCAAGGAAATAAATTGACACAAGTAACAATGTGTCATGCATAAAATAAAATAAAAATCGGAATATCACGCGATGAAAACTTTTTTCTAAAATGCCTGGAATCCCAATTTCACTATTGCCTACTGGGATCAAACTGCAGAATAATGGTAGTGCTTGAACTAGAAATTTATATTAAATTAATTAAATCAAATAATAATTAATAATTTATGTGATGATTTTTCAAAAAAATTATAAATTTAAAAATTCATACTTATTGTTAATTATGAGAATTTTACATTTCATTTTTCTTTGTCTTTCGTATTTTGTTGACAAAAATAATTATGTAAAAATAATTAATTCACTAGTATATCAATTACTCAGAATGAAACTTACAGTTTCAATAAAAAAGGAAACTTACCATGATTTAAAATAAAAAATGACCACACCTATTTCCAACTTTGAAATGTAATAAAAGGAAAAAGCAAAAAAATGATCACAGTATAAGTTGGCATGGTGGTAAAACAATTAAGGTACTTACTACCGGTATGGATGGTTCCACTCCAGCAGGCTTGATGTTGACAAATAAGTTGAGAGATTAAATAAAGCCTTTGTGTTAGGTCCTAAAAGACCGTATTGCTATATCGAATGATATTCGCTCAGAGA